TAAAAAAAATAATTTTCGTTTCAAATTATTGAAAATTTCATTCAAATATGATTCAGAAATGATTAAATTAAGACTCTTTTTTGATTAAAAGATGACTCGTGGAAGACTCTTTTATGATTAAAAAAAAGAGTCATAAGCGACTTATCAAAAAGAGTCGCAGCTAGGGTACTATTTTCTCCCGACTTAACAGTTTTTTATGATCAGAAAATGAGCGCAAATATGACTATTTTCAATCGTCGCGCGAGTCTTTTAAGACTAACTTATGCTCTGTTAACTCAAAAATGCTGGGTGTATACACACTGTACTCATTGAAAAAGGAAAATGAACAATGGCGAGTACTGGCATAACCTAATCATGTTTGCTCTGTTAGTAATCAATGTCTATCTATCTGTCCGTCCGTCCGTCTGTATGTCTCAGAATTTAAGAATATAAATTCAATAAAGTACATATAAATACACATTAACAATTTGGTGACTCTACTGTTTACTTCTGAGATCAACGCGTTCAAACATACGGACAGACGGACAGAGCTAAATCGACTCAGCTCGTCGCCCTGACCAAGATTATATATACTTTATGAGGCCTGCCTTCTGCCATTTTAATGTTATAATCACGATCTTTATGGAGATAGTTCATCCACAGCAAAAGTTATTAAACAATTAAGTTCCAGGAAGAACTCCACACTGCAGCCTATGCGTGCTCATGCGTGCGTGCGTATGCCTGTGTATAGGGGTGTGTGTGTGCATGTGCGAATAATTATTAAAATATCAGTTGCTCGAAGGGTTCAGGGCATCTCGTGGTCGAGAAGCCTCGACTAGAGCTTTCTTACGTGTTTAAACATTTATTTTTGTTTATTTCATAGAATTTCGGTTTTTGTTAAATTCCACCCCCTTTTCCTAATTCACCCCCTTATTCATAAATTTCTAGAAGGCATATTTCAAATACTAGAGACTTATGCTTTGGCAAATGCACGCAATCGAATGCTATAATCACTATCTGCAAGTTTCTTTAAGATAGTCCATCTACAAAAATAGTTATTTAATAAGGAAGTTCCCGTAGTAAGCCCAGGATGCAGCCCATGTAAATTTATACGTGCGTGCGTATGACTGTCTAACTGCGTTTGTATATGCATGTATTGTTTCTGATGTAAGCAGAAAAGAAGCGAAATATCAGATGCTGGATGTTGTTTCAGGGGATTTCGTACTCGAGCAGTCTCGACCTGTGCTTTCTAGATAAGTTCAAGCTTTTTACATGGCAATGGATTAGTTTCGGATTTGTATCTCGTTTCTAGAGCAGCGAAATGGCGCTGTTGGCAAAGGCAATGCATCTTCTCTTATTATTTGAGGTTGGATACCCCCGATGTTGAGTACTATTCAGCTTCTCTATTAATAATGACGCGAGCATGTCTTAGGGTACCATAAAGACATAACTGGGTATATCTAAAAACCCAGTAAATTCGTGACTGAAAGTTCTCTTAATAGGTACACACCGACTAGATTTAAACAACTGAAATTTAAATTTGATAACTGGAACAAAAATGTCCTAAATTGTCATAACTCTAAATACGGCTTCCATTGCACTTCTGTCTTGCTCTTAGACGTCTGCATGATTACATTCATAACAAAGCCACATTGAGTACATTCAAATTGAGTAGAATATGATTGAGTGAAAAGGACAGAATGAGACGAATGTGTATACTACTGTTTCGCAAGACGAACATGTTGTGTCTCATGCCGAATGACTGAGTATAACGAAAGAAGAGCAAAGTGAAATGAAAACTTCGAAAACACTCGAACTACTCAAGTAGTTCGAAGAATATTTTGTGTATTCATTTTGTGCTTTGAGAAATTATGAGCAGACGTGCGAAATGGAAGCGGAAGCTGCAGGAAAAAATGTATGTATTTTTCGGCAAATACCAGCGTGTTGTTTTTNGGATGAGTTATCGAAAAAATAAGATAAACTTGTACTGCCTATGGTATACACGAGTATGCATGGAAAATTTCAGTTCTCTAGCTCTTATATCTTCTGAGATCGGCGTGCTCAGAGGGACGGACGGACGGACAGATGGACAGGGCTATATCGACTCAGCTTGTCGCCCTGATCAAGAATATATATACTTTATGGGGTCTGCGATGATTCCTTCTGCCTGTTACACACTTTTCACAAAACCATTATACCCCGATTTCCCATTTTCAATGGGTTCATGGTATACAAATGATTTCTACAATATTGCATATAAATAATGGAGGTGAGGGCGCCATGGTATGTATATAAATTATTATCGGACTACTTACACGAAGAGAAGGCAGACGACGACGAGGACTCGGATGCATCTTTCGGGGGGACTATTGGAATTCTAAAAAAAAATATATATTTTTAAATAAGAGTATTTTACTGTAGCTAAATATCACAGTAGCAACGACTGTATCGGTAGTTATTAAACTTACTTTTTACTTTTATTTTTCTGGGAACTCGGCAATATTTCTACAGATGGTGCATCAGACATGGCTGAGACCACTGGAGTCTGTCCAACAATTATATCCTGGCGTTGAGCGGGAATTTGATCTAAAAAAAGATAAACATCAAAGTCATTTATTTAACATTTATTTTAATTCGAAAATAACAAAAATAAAACAAGTGAGAACGTTGCAGTCGGGCGTTACCGGGCTATTTTGTAGCTAAGTTTCGCTATAATACTGTAGAAAATGCAGTTTTTCCCTATTTGCCACGTCCCTACTGGGCGTAGACACCTCATTTTTAGTCAGTTCTTAGAAAAAAAAAGCAAAGCTTTTTGGTCTTGGGTGATCAGCCCGAGCACATATACAAAATTTGAGGTCTGTGGCATCAATACTGTCCAAAATATAGCAGAATTGAAAAAATCACTATATCTTCAGGTCCGATTTGCCACGCCCCTAATGGGCGTAGATATAAATTTTTGCCTTTAGACTTTATAGAATCATAGCATTAGCTGATGTGCAAAATTTCAGCGCTCTAGCTGTAAAACTCTTGGAGATACAGTTTTATCCGATTTGCCACGCCCCCAATGGGCGTAGATATATCCGCCATAGCTCGTGATCTTGGGATTGCGGATCTGTATTCCAAATTTCAGCTTTCTAGCTCTTTAATTAATATGATTTCTGGCACATCGGGAAAATTTTAACACAAAACCAATCACGGTAAGCTTGACTAAAAAGGCAATATAAAGTATGGGTAATGAATTAAATAAATTCCTTTTAGCCACGATGAACGTGTTCGTCGTTTTGCTCCGACAGATACCATGTACATAAACAGACTACAGGGTATACAAATAGCTAATTTGATTGTTACCTAATTTGTACTGAATATTGGGCCTCGCTTCTGGGCCTTGAATTAACACGCTGCTGGGGGGTAAACAGATGCCGCCAGCATCTGGCTGGGTAATGCACATTGAGGCATCTGGATGCGCGACGACAGCTGATGTCGTTAAAGACGGAGCAGCAGATGCAATCGCAGTAGCAGCAGCAGCCGCTCCTGCTTCCTGATAGTCACTCTCCGTACTCGCATTACTCTATAAGTATTAAATTTGTTAGATATTTATATTTATCTCAATAGATATTATTTCTTACCTTATCCAGCTCATCAAGTATGTTCTTTTTTGTTGTCGGATCGATAATCTGTAAACGATGCTGGTGTCGACGCCTACTAGGCTGCGGCACTGGCACAGGTTGGGGAGTCACATTAGATGACATAACACCAACCATTGGCGGAACACTAACGTTGACACCCACACCCACTTGACCACTCGCTGTTCCACCAACACCAATAACTGTATTAGCGCCTGGCTGTACAGCACCTGTTAGCAATTGTAATTGAGATGGTGTCGCACCACCAGGACCAGCCAGCGGTCCATTGGGTCCACCGGGCTGCACAGATTGCATTGTATTGCCTAAGTTCGTGTTAACCGCAACGCCACTACGTGAATGCGGCGGCGGCTGTTGCTGTGGCAATGGGGAGAGATATGGATAGGTATAATAGGGTATGGGCGTGTGCGTATATTGTAAATGTGGCGCCGGATACGCTGGTTGTCGCTGGCCATATTGTGGGTAATTCTGCAATACCATATTCGGGTACATCGGTGGCATATGAACATGGGGGGCGCGGGCTCCACCGCCAGTGCCGCTGCCACGTGGCGGATTTGATGCTGCCTGTGGTCCACGATAAATTCCACTTTGTTGATTTGAACGACTGTTTCCAGAACTGTTGTTGCCAGTCGAAACATACTGTAAAATGCAATTAGTAGTTTTAGTTCTTAGTCTTCTAAGCGCCCTCCAGATCACACACATATATTTCAAATGGACGACTATGACTAGCGACCATATAATAACCATAAACATCCTGTACAATCTATTCGAACTAGATAACATGTATACTAATACTAATACTAATATGAATTGCTCTGGCAATGGGACCAATTGAAGAGACCAATTACCTACCTATTACAATTAGAAGAGACATTGAATCCCCAAATCTGTTTGTTATGTCGGTAGCTTATATATGATTCAAATATATATATATATA